GGAAATCCTCGTGAGTATTCCAGGATGTCCTGGTACCTAGAACGTCGACTAATAGAATTCCTCTGGGTTTGTATCCCTAGTTCAGATCCGTTAAAGTGAGTGAACAAGATTCTGTACTCCCTTCCGGGGGTCACTTTCTATGTTGACGATGCACAGCGCAGTCTTTTAATCATCGTATCAGCTTTAATGAGGCATAGTTCACGTTCAATACAAGTCACCCTTGAAGGTGTGCAATTCAGAGTGTTTAATAGAGTCACAGAATTGTGCAACATCACCACAATTGATTTAGAACTTTCCACCATCCCTCCAAAAGGAACCCCTCCCTCGTTAGGAGACAGTCTCATTTCCCCGACCCCTAAGGCCAAGGCAAACACAAATGCGCTTTCTATTTCTATGGACTGGCGTATTTTGAATATTCCGTGTAAATGGAACCATACAGTGTCTGACCTTCTGTGTCCGGCTTCTTTCACTCAGCAGAATGGTTTCAAGGCCCATCCATGTTGTGCCATGTGTCAGCCCCTCACTGATTTTGATTGTGAATAAAATCCTGTCATAGGGCTGTAGCACAGTGCATTTCTGCTTTCCTCAGTGGGTAGACATTTGAGTATTTTCCCCTTGTTGGCTATTATGAGTATTCCTGCTATGAACATTCTGGTTCAAGTTTCACTTTTTCGGGGTGTATACCTCAGAGTGGAATTGCTGAGTCACATGGTAGCTCTCTGTTTCACGATCTGAGTGCCCAGAAGAATTTTTTCCAAGTGACTGCACCATGTTGCATCCTGCAGCAGCGTGTGAGGGTTCCGGTTTCTCCACATCTTCACCAACACTTACCATCTGTCTTTTGCATTCTAGCTGGGCTATGGGTGTGAAATGATATCTCACTGTGGTTTGGGTTGGTATTCTCTGATGGCTGATGATGTTGGACATCTTTTCATGAGCTTAACGGTCGTTTGTCTATCTTCTTTGGAGAAATGTCTGTTCAGCTCATTGGCCCATTTTTCACTTGGGTTATTTGTCTTTTTATAACTGAGTGGTCAAGTCCTTTACATATTCGAGGTATGTTTCTTATCAGATAGGCGAGTTGCAAACTTTTCTCTATATTGTGGATTGTCTTTCACTTTGTTAATGGAGTCCTTTGAATCACAAAAGTTTTGCACTTTAGCGATGTCTAATTTATACGTAATACAGTCTTACTCGTTGGAAATGATTTAGACATTAAATCATAACCTCATCAATAGTTTGGTGGTATAAAATAAAAGTTAAACTTGAAAGGGTCAGGGAAAGATTTGAATTAGTTTATTTCAAGATTTGCTGTAGATCCAAAGGAACTCAAAGGGAAGATATCATTTCCCTGTTCAAATATTTCTCTATTGTCCTTTTAATGTTCAGTTGATCAGGAATCAGAGCCCCTCTCTCATTTCTGATATTGGCTATAGGTGTTTCTCTCTCTTTTATTTTTCCAATTAGCCTGGCTAGAGGTTTATGCATTTTTGGATCTTTTCAAAGACCTAGTTTTGCTTTTTTGATTTCTCTATTGACTTCCCATTTCCAATCTCATTAATTTCTGCTGTAATTTTTATTATTTCCTTTCCTCTGTTTGCTTTGGGCTTCCTTTGTTCTTCTTCCTCCAGCTTAGATATTGTGTCAGATCTTTTTTGTTCTAATATGTGCATTTACTGCAATACATTTCCCTCCAGGTTCTGCTTCCACTGCATTCCACACATTTTAATAAGTTGTATATTTGTTTTTATTTGGTGGAAAATATTTGCAATTTCTCTTAAGACTTCTTTTTTGGTCCATATGTTGTTTAATCTGCAAATATTTTGGGCTTTTCCAGCTATCTTTCTGTTTGTATTTTCTATTTTAGAGTACTCTTTGGTCTGAGAACATACTTTGTATGATTTCTGTTGTAAATTTGTTGAGGTGTGGGATGTTTTCACCCAGAAGGTGATCTATCTGTGAATGTTGTGTGTGAGCTTTTGAGGACTGTGTATTCTGCTCTTTTGGATGCAGTGTCTTA